CCCGTAACAATATGCGTTTTGTACTGCTGTTACACAGCACAAAACGCATAAAAATCGGTGCAGACGCGCAGCGCACCCACACACACAGACAACCTCTCGTCAACACGCTTTTTCCGCATTGCACAGCTGTAAAAACGCATAAAAACAACCGCAAAGCTCTGACATCCCCAGTCCAAAAATTTGCTTCCTGACCAGACTGGCGACGCCGTTATTTTTGCATCTGGCTTCAAAAAACTCGCTACCTGATGTATTTATGTAGTAGTTAAGAGGCTGCATTGATGATTCCCGCCCCTAATCGCACCTTATACTGTCTGTGTTTACAACTAAGGGATGAAACTTTGGCAGACCTTTTCCTACATATTCTTTCCCACATGACCTTGCAACATTTCGCAAGGTTTCGTGTCACATAAATTGCCCTACTCTCTTTAAAAACAGAAGATTTTACCATAAAATTTCAGCTTTCTGGCTTTTATGGTTCCCGAGACAACAATTTCTCCGCAAAAATTTTCATGAATATTAAACTAACCCCACCCTAGGTTAAAATTTTCGGACTGTGACTGTTCCATATTTTGTTTGCCTCGGATCGTCCCCTTGTTTCAAAGACTACAAGTTCGGCCTATCAACGGCCGCAAATTATTTTAGCAAACTTATCCCACCCTTCGTTTAAACTTTCTGACTCCGGCTGCCCCACACCTTGTTTTCCTTGGACCATCCACTTGTTTTAAGATTACGATCCGGCCTTCTAACGACCGCAGTTTATTATCCCCATACATGTTTGGCTTTCTTTGGCGTATTTTCATGTTTTGGGCTCATTTATTTGCTTACTGGGCTGCTTTCACGCTGTTCCTGATCTACTTTTGCCCGATTCTACCCCTCTTAGCTGAATTTTGCGCCCTTCCGGCTAAATTCCATGCCCATCTAATTGGCTTCCGTGTTTCTCCTGCAGAGCTTTGCTTCCTTAATTCCCGGTACTTCTTCCTTTGCAGACTTTTATGATTTTTGCTTGGAAATGAAGTCATGTCCTTGCCGAAAATACTTTTTTCGCTGCATAAATAAATCATTAAATGAAGTTAAAAATTTCTACAAAAAAGTACATACCTGAGCTGCTTTGTAAGCTAATTTTAACTCAACTTCGCTCGCATGATATCCCATCCACAGGAAGACCATGTCACCATTATCCAGAATCATTATATCATCATCGTCAAGATCATCCTGCAAAATAAACTATCGAATATTATGCTCAAGAAAGAAATATTAAAAATTATGAGAAATGAAAAGAAGTATCTTAGCACAGCACTGAAAAGGGGAACAACGAAGGTGATAATCAACAACAACGGCGAAGACGAACCAATTTGGGCCGGTAATTTTTGGTTCCAGAAAAACGCAGGCCAAAGAATTAGCTTACGGCAAAAAGGCAAAAAAATCAACTTATTGGTAGATGCTGGAGAAATTCTCAAGAATTTTTCCTTTGTTATAGGAAAAGACCACCGTTGCTCATGCACCGCACACGTGGGTTCCACCTCAGTAGCGTTACTAATATAAAAACTACACACCGACTAGACTGGACGATTCTGTTGCAGTAATTAAGTGCTAAACACGGACATCTCAAAAAACGTTCAAAAACTGTGACAAAAAAAACTTCACCTTTCTTCGATAATCAACCAAGTTCCTTTTAACATGGCGGAATGCGGCACTGTACTGATGATTCCCATCCCATTCTGCACCGATTCTGCCTTCTATGTTTATAGCTCAGGGGTGAAACAGAG